GTCTAGCTTCTAAGTTTTAATAGTTTTACTGGGATATAGTTAATATACTATAAATTTGACCCATTTAAGGTGTACAGTGATAGTCAGTCAGCCATGTCTGACTCTTTGTGACCCCAGGGACTGTAGCCCACCAGGCTCCTCAGTCCATGGGATTTCCCAGGCAAGAATACTGGAGTGGGTTGCCATTTCTTTCTCCAGGGGATCTTCCCAACCCAGGGCTTGAACCCAGGTCTCTTACATTGGAGGCAAATTATTTACTGTCTGAGGCAACAGGGAAGCCCTTTAAGGTATACAGTTCAGTGCTTAATTTAGTATAGTCACAGGGTTGTCAAACCATTGTAATTTCTAATTTCTGAATCTGACTGTTAGTTGTTGGTTTATTCCACTATCATTGGCCGTAAGATAAGAAATAGAATCATATATCATAAAATAATATAGACCCATTCTCTATAATTTTCTGATTCATCTTTGTCCAACCAAAGTCCAGTAACTTCCCCCTTTCAACTTTAGTACAAAAAGCTTCCTCACCATCCATGAGAAATATTTGCTTATGGGATATTAAGCTGATTTTCATATGTGCCATAGAGAAGTCTTAGAATGTGAAATCTACTTACTTATAATGTAATTCTTGAAGATATATAAAGGGGAACTCAAAGCATGTATGCAATCAGTATTTATTAATGTGCCTTCTTCAGGTAAAAAAAAAAAATCCCCTAATAACCATTGATAGCCATTTCTGACTAATGGCTAAGGAGATCAAGCTTCAAGATATCTAAATACAGTCTCCTCCCTCATTAACTTGACTTTTAGATTAGAAAAAAGTCACCTGAGTATCATAAGAGACTTAATAAACTATGTTATATGAATATCTAGTTAATGTACTTTGTACGCACACATGTATACTATATATGAAGAGAAATTTTTATTTTCAAAGTGCCACTACATCTTTAATTCAGGTAGTGGTTGAAACACTTCCAGTTTTCCACCCCGTTTTTGATAGGTGAAATTGGAGAACAGACACATTAGTTGAAGTCCTGTGTTCAAGATAAGACTTAGTCAATGGTCGACATTGCAAAAAACTACTGGTTTCCTGCCTATGGCCCAGCCACTTCCTTATAACTTCATTGAAACCATCTTTGGTTTCCATCTCTTGACTTACCCATTAAATGTGATATCTATACAGAGACATACTAAACTAATAATAGAATAACATTAGAATGTACAGGTCTGAGAACTGGACCTTAAAGAAGGCTTAACACCAAAGAATTGATGCTTTTGAACTGTGGTGGTAGAGAAGATTCTTGAGAGCCTCTTGGACAGCAAGGAGATCAACCCAGTCAATCCTAAAGGAAATCAACCCTGAATATTCTTGGAAGGACTGATGCTGAAGCTCCAATTATTTGGCCACCTGATGTGAAGAGCTGACTCTGGGAAAGACCCTGATGCTGGGAAAAATAGAGGGCAAGAAAAGAGGGCAACAGAGAATGAGATGGTTGGATGGCATCACTGACTCAGTGGACATGAGTTTGAGCAAACTCAGGGAGATAGTGAAGGACAGAGAAGCCTGGTGTGCTGCTGTTCATAGGGTCACAAACAGTCGGACACGATTAAGCAACTGAACAAGAATTCCTTATAATTTCTGTAACATAATTTCTCCCATGTGTCCATGCCATTGACTTGCTACTTGTTCTGCCAAAATATATTCCTCTACTCCCCACAACCCCATGGAAGTTCTCATCCTTCTAGTCTCATCTGAAAAACCAGATCTCTGCAGTCCTCCCATTTACCCAGTGTGGCTCTAAGTTTGCCCTGTTCTCTGCCTCCCCTATACTTTGCATTAACCAGGTAAGAGCAATTTTCTTACCATGTCATAATAATACACTTATTGCTTGTCATCTCCCATTTGAGCAGGAGCTCCTTGAGGGACCATTTCTATCTTCTGCTCCATGGTGCCTGACGCATGTTTTTTTTGAATTCTGAGTGAATGTCATGAAAGGTTGTTCTAGGGAAGTTGTTGATTACATAATTTCATTTCTCTGTCTCCTCAAAGCCAAGGACAACAGTGAGAAGGTCCTTCCTTCAACAGCCAAGCTTTAACCAAGAGCACAGTCACTGAATAACAGTGTGATAGAAAAGAGATTTGAAGATGAAAGATTCTGTTAGCTCTGTCACTTAATTGGCTCAGGAAGGTCACTTAAGATTTTCGTGCCTCAGGTTTCCTCATATCCTTGGGCAATAGTAATGGGCAAAAAAGAGTTATTGTGAGAATCAATTGAGACATTTAATGGAAAAGTAGCTTGCAAACTGTAAAGCACTGCAAACATGGGAAGAGACCTTAGAATCTGGTAGAAAGAACAGGTGGTTTGGCCTTAAATCAGATTTTAAGCCCAGACCCCACTCCACTAATTATTTGACTTGCACAACTTAACTCCTGAGAGCCTATGTCTTTGCTTGTCAAAGGAAAGCAATAACACTTAGGCAGCTTAGAGTAATGTTGTGAAGGTTAGATGGAATCCAGGCAATGTTCCATCTGTGTACGTTCAACTGTTAGCAACCAGAGCTTTTGCACATTGTATATTCATACCTCTGCACCCTCTTTTCTGTGGCAGATTTTACCCCAGGGAGAGCAGGCCCTTCCTCTCAGGCCAGGGAGAGGACAGTAAGGGCAGACTGCTGGAGGAAGTTCCTGACTCTCCCGGCCTGTGACCCCAGCTGGCCTGGGTGTGCCTTGGGACAGGGGTGAGGCAAAGCCTCAATGTGGTGTCCCAGCACATTCCTAGGAAAGCTGTTTCTGCTGTAGCTTCTTTTACCATTTCTTTTTGAAGCTCCTTATTAAAGTTAAAGCATGCATACCAAAAAAGGTACATAGCCTAAGTGTATAGATCACATTTTATAAACTGAACACACCCACATAACCAGACCATTCATTCTCGTTACTGCCTGATGGTCCGCTTTGTGAATGCACCACATCTGAGTTTTCTGTTCTAGTGCTGATGGACGTTTGGATAATCCAGTTTAGGGGTGTTGCAGAGTGCTGCTGTGATTGCTTATTCATGTCTTTTGATGGGTATATGTATTTCTCACGGGTGTATACTTAGCAGTGGGAATGCTGGGCCATAGAGTATGCATATAGTCAGTTTGGGTAGATATTAAAAAAAATTTCCCAGCATATTTGTATAAATTCATACTCCCACCAGAAGTGTTTGAGTTCTAATTGCTCCACATCCTCACATCTTCAGTATTATCTGTATTTTTAATTTTAGGAGTTCTGGTGGATTTTATAAGACTGTGTAGCATTTTGGAAGTAGAATCATTCCCTCAGCCCCCAAAGCTTCAAATTTAATACATTCATTTCAGGAATGTGCTGTGTCAGAAGCAGGGGATTATGAAGATACAGAGCTCCTGGTATGGTACTTGGTATACAGAAGGAAGATGACAAATGATAGCTGCTATCATTATCACCCTCCTCCTCCTCATCATCATCAGTACTCACTGCCTTCTCTGCTCTTAAGGGGAGAGAGTAGGACATGGTAGATCCAAGGGTGAATAAGACATAGTCTCTACCCAGTAGGAGCTCAAGAGCTAGTTGAAGAGGCCAACACTGGAAATAGATTATTTTTAGAGGGTACAATAGGAACTTGAGAAAGAGGTAGTGCTTGAGCTGGGACTTGAAAAATAAGTCAGGGTTCAACAGAAAAAAAAAAAAGGAAATGGGCTGGAGAAAATGGCAGGGGCACAAAACCCTTGGTGGGGAGTGCCTGCTGTGGGCAGCATGCTAAGAGAGAAGAGCCACCTGAGACTGGAATCATTGCGCGCTGGTGTTGGTTTTTCGGGTGTTATCACCCTTGCTAGGATGCATGGGGCAGAGCTGGTGACCATTCCGGGTCAGTGTGACCTTACAGTACCCTGCTGCTGTGTTCTCCACCCTCCATCTTTTATTTTCTACCTCCTCTAGGAAAACAATCAGCCTTCTCTTCTCTCTCTCGGGATCAAAACCTGTCCCAAGTGTAAGGTGCTTGAAAACCACCACTGAAGCTTTGATAGCTGCAAAATGTCAGTGGTTACAGGGATCCCACAGCTTCTTTGCCATGTGTTCCTTTAGCTATGTTTATGTTGAGGACTGGCTAATAGTTTTTATTTTCGTGTGGGTCCAGGTTGCTTGTGGTGGAAATTAAGTTTAATAAAATGCTCTTCTTCCCAGTACCATATGTAGACCATGGATAAATCTTCTTGAGGAATTTTGATGATTATGATGATGGTGATAAAGGTGATGATCAAGAACTAATACAATGTCTCATTGATTGAGCATCAACTGTATGTCAAGCATTGGCTGTATAACAGTAAGGAAGATGGACATGATCCCTATGCGCATGGAACTGAGAATCTTAGGGAGGATCAGACAAGTAAACAGTTGAGCTGGGACTTGAAGAATAAGTCAGGGTTCAACAGAAAAAAAAAAAAGGAAATGGGCTGGAGGAAATGGCAGGGGCACAAAACCCTTGGTGGGGAGTGGATGCTGTGGGCAGCATGCTAGAAGAGAAGAGCCACCTTAGGCTGGCTACTAGTGTAATAAGGGCTGTGATGGATAGAGGTACGTAGTTCTGTGAGAGCACATCAAAGAAGCACCTCACCAAGACTAGGAATCAGGGAGGGCTTCCTGGGAAAGGCACCATAAACCTGATAGCCTCTAATTCATTTCAATGTGTGACAGAAACCACTGCAATGTTGTAAAGTAATTAGCCTCCAACTAATAAAAATAAATGGAAAAAAAAACCAAAACAAACAAACAAAAAACCCCAAAAAACCTGATAGCCTCGTGAAGGGAAGCGGGGAGGAAGTTTTCCAGGAAGAGGAAACAGTGCATAGGAGGAGTAGAGTGCAAGGGAGATTGGCTGACTGGAGAAGCTGTAAGAAGAGGCTAGAAATAGAAAGCATTTTGCCACTTAATGTTTCCATTTGCATCTGTGTCATAATATCTTTTGTTTGCCTGTTTTCTAGGAATGTTTACCCTTGCGGAAGTTGCTTCACTTAATGACATTCAGCCAACTTACCGAATCCTGAAACCATGGTGGGACGTGTTTATGGATTACCTGGCTGTCGTTATGCTGATGGTAGCCATCTTTGCAGGAACCATGCAACTTACCAAAGATCAGGTGGTCTGCTTGCCAGTATTGCCAGCTCCTGTAAGTTCAAAGGCACATGCTACACCAGGAAATGCCGACGTTACCACCAACATCCCGAAGATGGAATCAGCCACAGACCAAGACCAAGATGGGCGGATGACAAATGAGATTTCCTTTGGCGCATCTGCTGTGACACCTGACATACCTCTCAGAGCCGCATATCCTCGTGCAGATTCCACAGTTCCAAATCAGGAGGCCAAGAAAGAGAAGAAAGACCCAACTGGCCGAAAGACAAACTTGGATTTTCAGCAATATGTGTTTATTAATCAGATGTGTTACCATCTGGCCCTTCCGTGGTATTCCAAGTACTTTCCATACCTTGCTCTTATACATACTATTATTCTCATGGTCAGTAGCAACTTTTGGTTCAAATATCCCAAAACATGCTCAAAAGTAGAGCATTTCGTTTCGATCTTAGGAAAGTGCTTTGAATCTCCTTGGACTACTAAAGCGTTGTCTGAGACAGCGTGTGAAGACTCGGAGGAAAACAAGCAGAGAATAACAGGTGCCCAGACTCTACCAAAGCATGTGTCTACCAGCAGTGATGAAGGGAGCCCCAGCGCCAGCACCCCGATGATCAACAAGACTGGATTCAAATTTTCAGCCGAGAAGCCCGTGATTGAAGTCCCCAGCATGACCATCCTGGATAAAAAGGACGGTGAACAGGCCAAAGCCCTGTTCGAGAAAGTGCGGAAGTTTCGTGCTCACGTGGAAGACAGTGACCTGATCTATAAACTCTATGTGGTCCAAACAGTTATCAAAACAGCCAAATTCATTTTCATTCTCTGCTACACAGCAAATTTTGTCAACGCAATCAGCTTTGAACACGTCTGCAAGCCCAAAGTGGAGCACCTGACCGGTTACGAGGTGTTCGAGTGCACCCACAACATGGCGTACATGCTGAAAAAGCTGCTCATCAGTTACATATCCATCATTTGTGTGTATGGTTTTATCTGCCTCTACACTCTCTTCTGGTTATTCAGGATTCCTTTGAAGGAATATTCTTTTGAAAAAGTCAGAGAAGAGAGCAGTTTCAGTGACATTCCAGATGTCAAAAATGATTTTGCGTTCCTTCTCCACATGGTAGACCAGTATGACCAGCTCTATTCCAAGCGTTTTGGGGTGTTCTTGTCAGAAGTCAGTGAAAATAAGCTTCGGGAAATTAGTTTGAACCATGAGTGGACATTTGAAAAACTGAGGCAGCACGTGTCACGCAACGCCCAGGACAAGCAGGAGTTGCATTTGTTTATGCTGTCAGGCGTGCCTGACGCTGTCTTTGACCTCACAGACCTGGATGTGCTGAAACTCGAGCTGATTCCAGAAGCTAAACTTCCTGCTAAGATTTCTCAGATGACTAATCTCCAAGAGCTTCACCTGTGCCACTGCCCTGCAAAAGTGGAGCAGACTGCTTTCAGCTTTCTCCGCGATCACTTGAGATGCCTTCACGTGAAGTTCACTGATGTGGCAGAAATTCCTGCCTGGGTGTATCTGCTCAAAAACCTTCGCGAACTGTACTTGATAGGCAATTTGAACTCTGAAAACAATAAGATGATAGGCCTCGAATCTCTCCGAGAGTTGCGGCACCTTAAGATCCTCCACGTGAAGAGCAATTTGACCAAAGTCCCCTCCAACATTACTGATGTGGCCCCACATCTCACCAAGTTAGTCATTCATAATGACGGCACTAAACTCCTGGTACTGAACAGCCTTAAGAAAATGATGAATGTTGCCGAGCTGGAACTCCAGAACTGTGAGCTAGAGAGAATTCCACATGCTATTTTCAGCCTCTCTAACTTACAGGAACTGGATTTAAAGTCAAATAACATCCGCACAATTGAAGAAATCATCAGTTTCCAGCATTTAAAACGACTGACTTGTTTAAAATTATGGCATAATAAAATTGTCACCATTCCACCCTCCATCACCCACGTCAAAAACTTGGAGTCACTTTATTTCTCTAACAACAAGCTGGAATCCCTACCAGTGGCAGTGTTTAGTTTACAGAAACTCAGATGCTTAGATGTGAGTTACAACAACATTTCCATGATCCCAATAGAAATAGGATTGCTTCAGAACCTGCAGCATTTGCATATCACGGGGAACAAAGTGGACGTTCTGCCGAAACAGCTGTTTAAATGTGTTAAGTTGAGGACTTTGAATCTGGGGCAAAACTGCATCACATCCCTCCCAGAGAAAATCGGTCAGCTGTCACAGCTCACCCAGCTGGAGCTAAAGGGGAATTGCTTGGACCGCCTGCCAGCCCAGCTGGGCCAGTGTCGCCTGCTCAAGAAAAGTGGGCTTGTGGTGGAAGATCACCTTTTTGACACCCTGCCCCTCGAAGTCAAAGAAGCGTTGAATCAAGATATAAATATTCCTTTTGCAAATGGGATTTAAACTGAGATCCTGCCTGCACATACATGTGCAGGAACCACTTCCTAGATTGCAGATGTTCACGTACCAGTTATTGCAAGATGATGCATTTTAGGAGTAGATACACCTTTAAAAATACAACACAGGGAGAGGACGCATAGAAGGCTGATAGAAAACATAACTGAATGTTCAGCGTTTGTAGTGTTTTAAGTCATTTACTTCCAAATCTTTTCTCTCTTTTTCTTTTTTCTGGGGAAAGGGAAGGAAAAATTATAATCACTAATCTTGGTTTCTTTTTAAATTGTTTGTAACTTGGATGCTGCCGCTACTGAATGTTTACAAATTGCTTGCCTGCTAAAGTAAATGATTAAATTGACATTTTCTTACTATGCCACCTTTTTTTGAGATGTCTTGATTTACTTTGCATAATTGGTATAATAATGCTTTAATTCAGACCACTGAAGGCACATCAGGTAAATTTAGATTTGCTGAAATACTGATTTCTTTTTTGTTTCAATTTCAAGCACCTAAAATAAGCACTTCTTATAATATTTAACTGGTGCTACTGCTTCTGAGAATCCCATTTTATAGATTTTACACTCTTGAAGGCCTGAATTGCAGCAAAAGAGTGTAGATCATTGAGGGAGTTTTGTTTGTTTGTTTTTTAAGAATAAATATCAAAGAAAAAATAAAAGAACTCTTTCCTTACTAATAGTTGTTTTCCATAGTCTGGAGTTCTGATTATATGATATGCTTTTCTGTCACTACTATAGAGCTGCCAATAAATAGAAAATGTTAGTTTAAAATAAATTTAATTACAACCAAAATAAAATTTTAATGTTTAATGACTAACATCCTTCCAGTTTATCACCATTTGGAAGATAACACAAATTCAAAGCAAATATCATTAAATTACTTACCCTTTCCACCGTTGTGGGGAAAAAAGTAGGATTTGTAGTTCACTAAGTTGGAAACTATTTCTATTCATTTTAGTGACAGGCTGTACTTCCTGTGTTTGTCTGTAGCTCGGAAGGGTCATGTTCAGGGAAATGCTAGCAGAATGTATTTTTTGGGTGATGATTTTTCCTTTTTTATCTACTTAGAAAGTAGCTAAATCGATCTCAGAAAATCAAAAAACTTACTGCCACCTGTCTGTGTATAGGTTGGCAGGTATTTCACAGGCTTTTCTACACTCGGATAGTCTCTCATCACACCTTAGCATGGCTTGAAAGATTTTGCAGAGAATGAAAAGATGGACTCGCATGCATGCTTTTCCTCCCCCAAATTGATCTCTGGGGCTCCTGGCCTGTTGCAAGTGGTGGTGGTCTTTGCCTACTATATAGCTTCTGAATATTTACCTTCAGAGGCGTTATCACTGATGGGAGAATCTGCGGCCACCGTGGCCAAATGAGCAACCGACCCCGGCGTCAGCATCCTGGCCACTCCCTCTCTTCCCAGAAGACTTCAGGTAGAAGAGTAACATAAAAGGCCAGGTTTAGAAAATCAGAGGATCATGACTGAGTTTTGGTGTAAGCAAGTTCTCTCTGGTGCAGGCATCTTCCATTTCTCAGCATTCATTGATATATTCACTGGTATTGATCATGTACCTACTTTGTGCCTTGGAAATTCAAGGAACTGAGGCTTCGCTGTTGGAATAAGTCACAGCCTTGGGTTTAAACAGACTATGCGAGATCATATCAATTAGGTAACAAATACAAATAATTGGTTACAGTTGTCATGTGGAAGGCGTACAGAATCTGTGCATGAATAACAGCTGGGAGGGGGCACATTTGGTTCAAGTGGAGGTTCAGGGAAGTTTGCATTTAGAAACTCTGCCTGTCAACACTTGTGGACATTCCTCTCCACCAGCCCCGCAAGGTGCTGTTCTCCCTAAAGAGTAAGGCCACCACCCAAAATTGGTATAACATCTTTAGAAGGATGCCTCACTTGTGAGATAAACAGGCCAGATCTTAGGATCCTTGCTTTATGGACTGGGAAGCTTGTCTTCCTCTCTAAAAAGTGCATGTTGTTCTTGTAGGCACAGGTGACAGCCTTCCCGCAGCTCACCTTGCTTGTCAGAGGAGAGGCCTGGAGGAACCCAGAGTCTGGCCCTCCCACAGCTTGACCACTGGCAGCTGCCCTTAGGCACCTGTTTCTTTATCAATATTTGGGGTTCAGTCACTTAGAACTGATTGGTATTACATGCCTTCAAACAATATCAAGGGGTATTTTTATTCTTACCCAAACTTCTATTGACTTTATCAGCCCTTAATGATTTCCTTGAACTTTGAAGAGTTCACGGTCAATTGATTTAAATGCCCGCATTCCTTGCCACTGTTTGCAAATAGCCATATTTTAAAAGAGGCTTCCTAAGAAATGCTGATTCATCCAACAGATTTTAAATGCACTGGGTCTGGGAGTCTCAGTAAAACAGCAGATGAGATTATGGGCCCAAATATACTATCAACCCATATGTCTTCACAAATTTATGTTGGCACTGCACACTCTAGACACGGGGAAGGCACAAGTTAAAATGTACAAGTTTGGCTTACTAGCATTTTCGTATCTTCTAAAGTTCCTTGAGCACCACTTGAGGAAAATTATTTTGAAGTATCTGTAAATGTTCCATGTATATGCGAATCCCTGAGAACCTGGCTTATTTTCAAATGTTTGACTTTTTCCCCATCAACATTCAGTTTTGGCTTAGAGGAGAGGATTGACTTTTACAGGGGTTCAGAAAGATGAGCTGAGATTGTTACTGGGGCCCCATTTGTAGTAGTGATTTGTTGTTGTTTAGTCTGTAAGTCGCGTCTGACTCCTTGCAACCCCATGGACTGTAGCCCACCAGGCTCCTTTGTCCATGGGATTCTCCAGGGAAGATACTGGAGTGGGTTGCCATTTCCTCCTCCAAGGGATCTTCCCGACCCAGGGATTGAACCCACATCTCCTGTGTCTCCTGCACTGCAGGTGATTCTTAACAATTTGATAATAGGTAAAAAGAGTTCATTCTCTGTAAGCCCTGGACAACATTCCTGATCGTTTGACATTTTTCATGTGCAAAGGAAAAGGTCTTATGTTTTATTAGTATTATTGCTAGTACTTTGTCTGACTGCCTCTCCTGGACTCAGCTTCAGCCAGCAGCTAAACTCAAAACTGCTGATGGAGCAAGCTCCCAAGTGCCCTTGAGACCAGCGACCACTGGTTGTTTCCCTTCACCTGCTGAAGTGAAGCCAGAGGGCTGTCCTCTCCCTCAGACCTCTGGCAGCACTTGCGTCAGTAATTCATTCCAATAAAATGGTCCCTTTATCATCCTTAAACAAAGACTGTACTAACAAAAAGCCCCTTTCATGAAAAGAAGAAGGAAAAAAAAACCTGGAAAACAGTTTTCAAATGTCCTCTAACTTGTGACTGTGACACAAAGAAGTGGCCCCATCTGGCCCGGCCAGCTGTGGCCCTTCTGGGACAGCACGTTAGATATTTAGAGCAGTGCCTGCTGGTGGGGAGGAGGCAGAAGGCCAGAGCCCTCGCCCCTCAAGTCTGGCCTAGGCTGGGGAGGTGGTCATACTACCAACATCGGGGAAAAGCCCCTTAACTCTCCAGTCTTAAAACTCCAAAGAGGAATAGTGGTCCAATCTTCATCCTTACTACTTCTAGAAATACAGTAGAAAATTGCCCCACGTAAGCCACAACTTGCTGGTGGAACTGAGCAAGCTGTTTGGCTTTGTCAGTCCCACAGGGCTTCATCTCTGATTCATGACTTGCCACTCTCCCACAGTGCAGGACCTCTCTGATAAAAACTGCCCCCGTCCTGCTCACCGTCTCTATCATTAGTTCTTTCTTTACTCCCAAGATATCAAGCTCTTGAGTGAGAGGGTCTGGATTGAATCCTGCCTCGGCCTCAGCTGTATGACCATAGTAAGTAACTTAACCTCTCTAAGCCTCAGCTGCTTTATCTGTAAATAGGAATAATGATGTGTGTCCATGTGTGCTCAGTCGCTTCAGTCGTGACTCAAAGTCATGTATTGGGACCCCTTGGATTGTAGCCTGCCAGGCTTCTCTGTCCATGGGATTCTCCAGGCAAGAATACTGGAGTGAGTTACCATGTCCTCCTCCAGGGGATCTTCTCGATCCAGGGATGGAAACTGAGTATCTTGCATCTCCTGCATTGACAGGGGGGTTCTGTCGCCACCTGGGAAGCCTGGAAATAATGCCTTCCAATGGCATTTTTTTGTGAAGACTGAATGATTTAAGGGACACTGCCTGGCTGAGAGTAAGTACTCAATAACATTCAGCTAGCATTATTTTATCCCCAACTGTGACAGAGACAATTAGCCTTCCCTAATATATATTCTCAACTTCCTTAGTCATGGGATTTTCAGTGAACACCTGGAAACATATGTGTAAAATAATTTCCCAAACTTACTTGAGACTACATGTGGCCAAATGGGTTAATTCTAGCCCAGAAGGTGGGAATCAAAGTGGAACATACAATTTCTGAATCAGGCCCTTAAGTAGAAAGGCAACCATACCTTTCATTCACCATGGCAACCAGAGAAAGGAAGAGTGATAGTTGACTGCTTATAATTATAATTAATTATATATCATTCTCCCAAGAACCTGAGGTTTTGTAGGTCCTACAACTGCTCTAATGACATACACACTCGTGCTCAACACATGGACACCCTTCACAGCCTCAGGTAGCTAAACCCATTTCATTGTTTAACCTTCAGACTGGGTCTGGGTTAGCTGCTTGAAGCTCACCCAGCCATGGGATAACCTGCTCAGAGCCTTTTCTTGAATGTCCCTGGAAAACTGCCAAGTAGCCTGTCATGAAAATTGGCTGGAGTCGTTTCAAGGGTAGACCTGCCCAAAGGAATCACCCAGGTGTTAAGCCAAACTGTGTAGATACTGTAAAGAAATACATTTTTCACTTTGCCACTGGAAAACTGTAAATAGAAGCCACATGATTCAGTACTTTGAAATGAAGTACTGCCTGAGTGGAACTCTTTAAGACGTATCTTGAA